CTGTGCCTATTGAAGCTGCAGGTAGACGCAGACAAACCAGACGGACGCGACGTGTTTGAGCGACAGATCCAGGAGGCCATCGGGGAAGCGGGCAGTGTCAGGGCTATGACTTCCAAGGTACAATTGGAGATCATGGATCTGGACTGCGTTGCGACTCCGGAAGACGTGACGGCCGCGCTCAGACGAGAGTCTGGGCGAGACACAGACTTTCGGGTCCACATTTTCGGTCCTAACCGCGCTGAGCAGTATATGGCGGTCTGCGAAATGGAATCGCGAGAAGCCGAGGCGCTGCTGCGGCGCGGTCGGATCGGAATTGGCTGGGTGCACTGCCGCGTCCGAAAAAGACTGACGGTGACGAAATGTTACAGGTGCCTGGGCTTCGGCCACGTGAAGGCCGAATGTACGGGCAAGGACAGGACAAAATGCTGCCGCAAATGCGGCGCATCCGGACATTACACGACGGAATGCAAAGGAGAACCGGTCTGCCCACTGTGCTCCGAGGCCGGGCATGGGGACGTCGCCCACCTCGCCGGAAACGGCAGGTGTGCCGTGTTCCGGGCCGCGCTGGAGGAGTGCAGGAGGCGTGCCGGAAGACGGACAGAGTAGTACAAGGAAACTTGAATAGAAGTAGGACTGCAGACATGCTCCTACCGCAGATAGCCGACGAACATGACGCGGATATTCTGATCCTGTGTGAACCATACAGGAAAAGGATGTCCCAGACATACATTACAAACAGGACAGAGACCACTGCTATCTGGGTAAGGGGCGCCGCTCAATTTAGAGTCTCCAACCGCGGAGTCGGGGACGACTACGTCTGGGCTACAGTCGGCGCTGTCACTTATGTCAGCGTCTACTTGACACCCAACTGCACCGCGGCGGAGTTCGAAAGGAAGGCGACGCTGTTAGAGGACGGAATCAGGGACCTGCCCGGAGATGTCATCGTTGCGGGGGATCTTAATGCGAGGGCGATCGAGTGGGGAATGAACGAAACGAACCGACGTGGATGACTGCTGCTGGAAATGGCTGCAAGGTTGGACCTAGCAGTAGTAAATACGGGACACACGCCGACGTACAGACGACCAGGGATTGGAGACTCCATCCCTGACGTGACGATGACGTCGGACAGAATCCTGTCACGGCTGAGGGGGTGGCGGGTGGTCGAGGACTATACAGCCAGCGACCATCAATACATCGTCTTCGAAGTGGCGGGACGGACAGAAACGAGACAAACGAGAATCCACCAACCCCCGCGGTGGAACCTTAACAAACTTGACCGACAAAAATTTTCGGAGGAGTTGACGGCGGCATCAGCCCCGGGGTCGAAGATTCCTCCTGAGCTAACGGGCCGGCGAAGAACGGAAAGACTGACAGACGAGACGGCGAAATTAATAAACAACTTGTGCACCAGCACAATGACGAAACGACGACAGATACAAAAAAGACGACCACAATACTGGTGGACGGACGAAATAGCCGAGCTACGCAAGATATGCCTGGCAAATCGGCGACGTGCGACGAGGGCTGGAGGTGAACCCGAAAGGGAAAACCTTCAGGCCATATACAAAACAGCACGAAAGACGCTGACGAAAGCAATACGGGACAGCAAGACGCGATGCTGGAGGAAGCTCTGCGAGGAGGTGAACGAGGATCCCTGGGGAACCGGCTACAAGATTGTGACCGGGAAACTAGGGGCCCGAGTCTCACCGGAACTTAAAGATGCCGAAACAGCAGGGCGGATTGTTGACGGATTGTTTCCGACGCACTCGATTAGGACAAACGTGATGGATGACGTGGACGCACAAATGCCCCCCGCTTTTACCGCTGAGGAGCTCATCAGAGCAACGAATGCGATGAAGACGGGTAAGGCACCGGGACCGGACGGAGTACCATCCGAGATCCTCCGGCTCGTGGCTCGTCTACGGCCGGAGATACTTCTCGACCTGTACAATACGTGCTTGACGACAGGAACGTTCAGCGATCGGTGGAAGGAGGCGAGGCTCGTTCTTATTCCAAAAGGTAGGGGCGACCCTGGCACTCCTTCGGCCTACCGGCCGTTGAGTTTACTTGACACTACTGGTAAACTCTTTGAACAATTACTCAGACCGAGACTGACGGACGCGATACAGGCCGGAGGGGGTCTCTCAGATTTGCAATTCGGCTTCAGGAAGGGTCGGTCGACGATTGGAGCGATCCAAAAGGTGATTGATTCTTTCCTGGAACTAGACAGACACTGCCATGCGGCGCGACCCATTGTGCTGCTAGCGACGCTCGACATCAGAAATGCTTTTAACTCGGCCAGGTGGGTGGATATCTTGGAGGCGCTGAAAAGCAACTTTCGGATTCCACCGTACCTGGTTCGGGTTGTGGAGGATTATCTGAGAAACAGACGAATAACGTACGAGACGATCGAAGGACAGGTAACGAGACAGGTCACCGCTGGGGTGGCTCAGGGGTCGATACTGGGACCCGACTTTTTGAATGGTCTATACGATAGTCTGCTTCGGCTTGGGATGCCACTCGGAGTGACCCTCGTCGCCTACGCTGATGACGTGGCGGCGGTGATCACGGAGAGATCTCCCGAGCTGGCGCAGCTGACGTTGAACCAGACCATGAGACGAGTTGGACGATGGATGACAGAACACGGACTGCAACTCGCAACAGAAAAGACGGAACTTATGCTTCTCACGAGAAGACGCATACAGACGATACTACCCATGAGAGTGGGTACATACGAAACGGAGACCAAAGGGGAAGTCAAGTACCTTGGGGTAACCCTCGATACGAAGATGACCTTCTGGCCTCACATACAGAAGACAGCCCGAAAAGCGGCAGAGAGGATAACATCCTTGAGCCGCTTGATGGCAAACACGACGGGACCGAGACCAGGAAAGCGGCGACTGCTAATGGCGACAGCTCACTCGATCCTCTTATACGGCGCGGAAATATGGGCAGATTCCTTGAAGACAAAGAAGTACTGTAAGACAATGACGATGGTACAGAGACAGGGCGCTCTGCGAATCGCTTGCTCCTACCGAACAGTCTCTGCGCAGGCTGTCCTGGTGGTGGTGAGCGTAATACCCGTGGATCTTCTTGCCTCGGAACGCAAAAGGATCTATGGGAGCAGCGCAGACATAGGACGAAAGAACGCGGCAATCGTTGAACGCGAAAGGACGATCGACATGTGGCAAGACCGATGGACAGAAGAACGAGGTAGCAAATGGACGAGACGACTGATACGGGACGTGAGACCGTGGCTTGGAAGGAATTTTGGTGATGTGAATTTTCACGTCACCCAGCTCTTGACGGGCCACGGGTACTTTCGACGGTACCTCCACAATATGAACCGAGTACGAACACCCGACTGCAAGTATTGTGGACACGAACGAGACGACGCGGAACACACGTTTTTCGGGTGCGACCGCTGGACAAGACTCAGACGAGAACTAGAGACAACAGTTGGCAACATCACCCCCGATAACATTGTAGAGGTGATGCTGCATAAACCCGAATGGTGGCGTTTAGTCGCTACCTATACGGAAACCATACTAAGACGTAAGAACGCGGACGACTGTCTGAAGGACGACTGAGCAGACGGATTGACGCGACGTAACGACGCACGGTAAAACGATACGAACGAAGGAACACAGACAGAACCCCCAGTCAGAAGTAATATCAACATAGTCCCTGGCTGGGGGAAGGACAACAAGGAGATGGCGGTTTAGTGGGTAGGCCTGTCTTTTTTTTTTTTGGGGAGTCCCACATACCTCCTTAGATCAAGATTAAGGGGAATCCGCAAAAAGGATTCCGCAACTCCTTGTAAAAAAAAAAAAAAAAATTAATAATAATAATATAATTAATAATAATAATTAATAATAATAATTAATAATAATAATATAATTAATAATAATAATTAATAATAATAATATAATTAATAATAATAATTAATAATAATACTAATTCCCTCGGGGTCCTTTTTTATAGTGAGTTCCCCTTGCCTTTTACTTCGGGGTGCTTTTTAATAGCGAATTCCCCTTACCTCTCACTTTGGGATGCTTTTTAATAGTGAGTTCCTCTTGCCTCTCACTTCAGGGTGCTTTTTAATAGTGAGTTCTCCTTGCCTTCCACGTAAATGAATTTACAACAGATGTTCAAATTGTTCTCCATTCGCTTCTTGACAGTAACCAATCCTATCATAGAAAGATTGAGTTGCATTTTGGATCATCTGCCGTGGAATGGCATTAATTTCTTGAACTATTCTACGTCTTAATTCTTCCAGATTTTGTGGATTACTTCTGTATACCCGATCTTTTAAATACCCCCACAAAAAATAGTCCAAAGGGCTTAAATTTGGAGATCTTGAAGCCCACTCTACTGTACCTCTTCTACGTATTCATCTATCAAAAAATGTTTCATTGAGGTATTGTCTGACATTTACACCATAATGAGCTGGAGCACCATCTTGTTAAAACCATGTATTTTCAAAATCATCACCTCTTAAGGCCTGGATAGCTGGAACAATTTGATTTCGCAAAAGTTGTTCACAACCTACAGCGTTCAAATTTTCTGTGATAAAAAAGGGACCTATTATTGTATAGCCTACCATTTATGCCCCACGTTTAATTTTTTAGGATATTGAGTGTGACTTTCTCTCATCCAATGAGGATTTGGGTTGGACCAATATCTAAAGTTATGACAATTGACTTCGCCATTTAATTGAAATATCGCTTCGTCTGAAAAAACAATATTTTGTAAAAATATTGGATTTTCAGTAATCATTTAATTTGCATCATTGTCTTATAAAACTCGATGATCAGGATTATCTTCATTCAATTCCTGCACAAGTTACATTTTATAAGTATGAAACTTGTTTACCTTTAAAATTTTAAGAACAGATTTCGATCGATGTCCTGTTGTAGAGCTACTGATCGAGATGATTCATGTGGATTTTCCACAAAAGAAAGTAAAACATCTAAAGATTTTTCTTCATTTGTTGCTGTTCATGGTCTTCCAGTAACAGAACGATTTTTAATAGACCCCGTTTCTAGAAAACGTCTTAAGGTTTTTAAAACTGTGGATTTAGGCAAAGGAGTTTCGCCATCGCCGTTTCGAAACGTTCTATTAAAGAGATTAACAACATTAGTATACGATTTTTACTGATCACCCCAACCCCTCATCATTAAAAGAGACATTCGTTCTCTTTCAGACAAAAGAAACATTTTCAAAGTTTGAAAAAATAAAAAATTTAATATTGTTATTGTAACTAAAAAAAAATTATGAAATATTTGACGAATGTGTCGAATTGGTTTTTTTTTTATTGGTCAAGTATTTTTTCTTCTAGAGCCTATTTACTATGAAAACAAAAAATATGATTTCAACTTCCAATTAGTAGAAGTCAAGAACAAATAAGATTTTAAAATCTAAATGATAACAATTTTTTAATTATTATTTGCAAAAGCACTTCTATTTTATTTCTAAATTTTCACTTCTTTGAAATGCTTTCAAAATAATTTTGTATTTCTAATAAACAATTAGCTTTATAGCCTATGAAAGAGGAGAAAACGTAACTTTTGACGAAAAAAAACGTGACTTTCCAGCTTTTGACAATTTTAATGATATTTTATGCTCAAAGTAGTGACTTTCTATTTTCTAAAATGAAAGATGAAGACTGCGAAAAAAAAATGAGATCCAGATGAACTGTGCAATGTGAAAAAATAGTCTTCTTTTTTCATAATTCTAAAAAAATACGAGAAAGACAGATCTTCTAATTGATTTTTATTCGTTTTCTAGCAAAAATCAACCCTGTTTTTGTATTTAAAAAAAAATATTGTTTTCTCAGACGAAGCTATATGTCAATTAAATGGCGAAGTCAATCGCCATAACCTTAGATATTGACACGACAAAGTCCTGATTGCATGAGAGAAAGTCACACTCAATATCCTCAAAAATTAAACGTGTGGGCATAAATAGTAGGCGATACAATAATAGGTCCCTTTTTATCATAGGAAATTTGAACGCTGTAACTTTTGTGAAATCAGATTGTTTCAGCTATCCAGGCGTTAAGATGTGATGATTTTGAAAATACATGGTTTTAAGGAGGATTAGGGGTCACACTATCTTTGAATCGTTCCCACCCGTAAAATTTATCGCTCGTTTTCATTCTAGTATAAAAAATAGGTGTTCCCATATGAAAAAATAAGGTTGATCTTAAAATAACCTTGAAAATGAGATTCAAGGTCAAACCAGAGGTCACCGTTGGGTTCCTCGTTGAAAGTTACATAGGGTATGACCTTTGTTTCATGAAAGAAAAAAAAAAAAAACCTCATGCGGTTTTCCGAATTTTCCAGGGTTTCCATACTTTTTGCTGACCCTATATATTTTGTTTTCTTTTACTGTTAAATTTGTAATATAGCTTTGATTTCATGTATTTCCTGTAAAAACAATTGCAAACAAAATATTTTTATTTCCAATAGTTTTGGGTTTTCATCACAATAGCATATTGTAGTTTATTTTAAATAAATTTAAATTTTCTTGCGAGTATTTACGTGAGAAAATATTTGTACCAAAAAATTGTAACGGAGAAACTTGCGACCGTTTCCTTTTTGGATAGCTCGCGGCCATCCGAACAATTTCTATTTAAAGAGGAAATTGGGGAAGAGCGAATGTTCCCACGACTAAATCATCCGCCGAGCAAAACGAATCAAAATGCGCATTATGAAAATAGGGATGAGGAGTGCTCGAGCAAAACGACGATGACAAAAGTTAACAATAATAATATGTAATTGATAAATAAAATAAAGTAACAAATGAAAAATCACAATAAACAAAAACTCAACAATAAATAATTAAACAAAATCAACTTCGATTCGTTGACGCTTGATAAATTTCTTTACGCTCGCGATGAAAAATGGATTGGTGGCAGGGCCGCTATCTGATCCGCTTTCTCTATTCCTTCTACACTCCGTAACACGATTTAAATGCTCCCGTACAAATTTGATAACGGTCACGGTTGGTGCAGTAGCTAACAGATCTGCCAGGCTACCCGTCTAGCAACGGCGTCCGAAAAATGCAAGAGAGAGACAAAGAGAGAGAGAGAGAGAGAGAGAGAGAGAGAGAGAGAGAGAGAGAGAGGAATGCAGCACCGACCGTGTCCACCGGAACCTTTGCTCCCCTCTGCTATCGTTCCTGAAGTTGCTGTTGTTGCTGTCGATGCTGTTGTTATTGGTGTTGCTGTTTGTGTTGATGTTATGGTTGTTATTAATTCTGTTGTCAATGCAATTGTTGTTGTTGTCGCCGTCGTTGTTATCACCCTCCTCGCTACTGCTCTGCTCCTCTTCGTCCTGATCACTTGCGGCGGAATCAAGGTTGGTCTTGCAAATGCTCTTTGAAGTGCGTAACTACTCCGCGAAGGAATATTTTTTCAATTAATTTGTAAATTTTGTGAATATAAAGGTAGGTAACTTCCATAAATCGATTTTTTTATGAAATTTTCGAAACACCTCGACCGAAATTTTCAGTTTTCTTTTAAAATGTATATTTTAATTTAATTAAATGCTGGTATTCGAAAAATTGTAAGAAAACAATATTTCTACTTAAAAAAATTATGGGTTGCAATTCTATCGGGTATAAACAATTGTCATAGAACTGCCATTTTATAACAAACACTTTAGCGTTGGAATTATATCAATATTCAATTGTTCTTAGCGATGTTAAAAGAAGTATATTTTTAGGGATGATTTTTAAGGGTTTCTTTCACTCCCTAAAACGTTTCTCCACGGATAAAACAAATACGTCTCTCTTATTTTTTTATGTTTAGCAACATATTACAGTTACATAAAAATCGGAGGCGGATACCTCGCAAGGGTTCATTGTCAATATAATGGAAGTTATTTTCGGCAATCTTTCTTATTGCAGGGACTATTTAATTTTGCAGCATATTCTCGTAGGTGGCAGCATTCAAATTACATTCAAATTGTCGAGATAAATCGATGTTTTTTCTCCATCACAATGAGGATTTGCCTCTAACTAATATCAACAATGGTACCTACGTATTTAAAGAACCATTACGGTGGAATGTTTCTTCATCAAACAACACTACATTAAATGGAAATCCAGAATTGTTATCTATACGGATTATCATATTTTTAGTTCGTTACGACGATTATAATTCGCTGATAGACATTAAAAGGTTCAAAAACTTTCTTCAATTAACAGTTGACCTAGCTCCATCGCAGAACCTGTAACATGGAACTTTTAAATAATTCGTTCAACGGTTGACGTTGAAATAATAATTACCATAATTAAAAAATTTAAAAAATTTCTTACAATTCTATAAGATTGCGTTAAATTATCTCAGCCTCTCATCATAAGAAGAGATATTCTTTCTTAATCTATTTTTTAAATTAAATTCTTTCAATTTAATTAAAGTGATAACTAAAATCCGAATTTCCCACAAAATTTTATAACAAAAAATAATTTGAAAATTGAACTTTTAAAATATCAATGTAGTAATAAATGTAAAGAGAATATTCATTATTTAGTATTTTCTTTTTCAAAGCTTTAAAATATTTATTTAAAAAAATTATTCGTATCTAGTCCAAGCGTACGGGTATTTATTTTTTTAGTTCTATCTTTATTTATTTATTTAGTTATTTATTACCAGAGTAAGTACATAATTTACATGGTTATCAATATACATACATACATTACAAAATATTGTAACTGATCAGAGGTAATATATATCTGTGCGATGGTCTGGTATATAACTACAGAAGAAAAAAAGAAAAGAAGGAAAAAAAAATTTTAACTAAGGAAAATAATATTTATAAAAACAACAATTCTACAGCATGCATAAACTTGGCAGTGAATACTACCAAGTTAAGCAGCAAAAATGTAATCTAAATATTGTACTATTCTATTGCTATCTTTTTCACCAGAATCTGATTAGCATCTGTTTTGCTGCGTTGTAGTATTTCAAGCTTGCTTTCTTCTCTTTTGCATATCTTTTACATCTTGTTTAGACGGACCGGCAAGTGAGTTCAACAGCATATATTTTCCTATAGTGTGGAAACATACTTTGATGTTGTATAATATTGGTACAATTGCAAGTGAATGTGAACACCACATCATCTACAATTATTAGGTCTTTATGTTTTGGTTGAAATTTTAGCGAGTAAACTGAGTTAGTGAATGTTTGTGTACCTTGAGTTCCGCTATCAGAATAGAGAAGAGCTTCGTTGTTCCCCAGATAGTTGATATCTCCGTAGGTCATCCTGATACAGTTTGCAGACTGTAATAGTTTTCCAGGAGCTAGCAGTGCCTTTTGCATTAAAATCTTGTTAGTGTTTTGAACAGCTATGTTAGCAATAGTGTTAAGTAGAATTTGATCTCAAATAGAATATAAATTTTGATGTATTCGTATTTTGCCTTTTGATTTGGTTCTTCAGATTCTGATTTTGAAGTTATGGCTTTGATAAATTGTATATATTTAATACCCTTAGTGTGGGGTTTCCTATCTAATTTTAGATCGATTTTTACAGTCTCTGTTAAGTTAGTCCTTGATTCAAAAAATGTATTAGTTAAGTCTGTTATAACTTTTAGTACTTTATCAATCTTTTATTGCATTATAATACGAGGTGTGTTCAATAAGTAAGATAAATTTTTATTTTTATGAAAAAATATTTATTTATTCATCAATATTTATGTTGTCCTCTTCAAAGTAATCGCCCTAAGATATAATACAGTTGTGCGAACGTTTTTTCCAGTCCTCGAAGTACTTCTCGTAAGGACTTTCTGATTTGGCCTTGAGTTCTTCCAGCGATTTCTTCTTTATCTCCTCAATCATTCTAAACCTCCGTTCTTTGATGGGGTTTCTTGAGTTTTAGAAACAGGAAAAAATCGCAGGGGGCCATGTCCGGTGAATATGGTGCCTGAGGAATGATTGTGATTTTGATTATGAGCTCTATTGTATAAATTACAAAAACGATGGGTACATAAATATGCTCTAACGTCCAGTAAAATTTTGTTAAGATTATTTGTATCCTAATGGACATCCGAAGTAGGATACAAAAAATCTGTGAACATGATAATTAATGATTGATTGATTCCTTTACAGCCGGTTTTACGCAGCGTCGTCTTCAAAGACTCTAGTTTCAAAGATTTCTTTTAGTCCATTGTTTAAATGTTTTTTTAATACTATTTTTGTTGACCATTGTTTTAAGTTGATTTTGTAGATTGTTGAACAGTATAATAGCTCTATTAAAGCTGTTTTTATACAAATTCTTTTTATTCTTTTAGGTAGTTTTATTCTATTATATCAAGTTTTTTTATCTTTTACGCTATACATATGAGATAAAACTTCATAATGTATTATGAACAATTGATTCTTCATATTTGTTTCACAGCGCTCATATAGTTCGGATGTAGAGAATAAATACTCTCCAAAATTGCGAGCGACTGTTAGAGTTCAGTAAATGTAAATAGTTTAATTTCAAAACAAACAAATCACATAAAAATAGTTACACTTATTACAACCGATATGGCTACACCAATAAAAAAAGTTAATACAACAACAAATAATTCGGAATAATTAGAAAATATATCTCTTGGATGGAAAATGGTGCAAAACAAAAGGATAAGAAATAGCCTAGACGATAATAAAATAGTAAAGAGAAGACAAACACACACCAGTGACTATTGGCTTGGAAAAGAAAACAACAAATTGGAATTAAGCAACCAGTATGAAGAACTGACACCAATAATATAGCTAAAAATGAATATACATTAAAAGTACTTAAAAACAGTGAAATTAAAATTGAAATTAATAATCCAGAACTATTTTCGCTAACCGTGACTGAATTAAAAAATAAAAATACCGACTTTTATACATTTCAACAAATGGAAAACAAACCCTATCAAGCGGTTCTAAAAAATATGCACCCATTTGTCGATCTAGATGAACTAAAAAAAGAAATTGAAACATTTAATCATGACGTAATAATAATAACAAATAAAAAACATAAAATTACTAAACAACCGTTACCGATATTTTTTTAGAAATAAAAACTACAGAAAACAATACAGAAATATTTGAAATTTATAAACTGATGCAACAAATAATTAGCTTTGAGCCTCCGCGTAAAAAACGAGAAATACCATTCGTTTCCAAGAATATGGCCACACTAAAAATTACTGCCATAGAGCACCAATCTACGTAAAGTGCACGAAAAATCACCACACATCAAATTGTCCTATTCAAACGAAAATAGAAGAAGTTAAATGTGTTAATTGTGGAGGAAATCATGTAGCTAGCTACAAAGGATGTAGTGCGAAAAACTTCTACAACAAAAGCTATTTCCAGCACTAAGGCCAAAATATGCAGTAACCGAAGTAAATACAGTCAGACCAAACGTCTCTTAAGCGCAGGCTACTGGAGCAAAAATATACATAACTGTAGAATAACCTAAACAAATACAAACACCTCAACCAAAAGCCATGACAGTCAATTAGTAAACATGATGACTCAACTCATGAATAGAATGGATGCAATGCTTAATCTGATTACCACGCTCATTAATAAAATAAAATAAATATATAAATAAAAACAGCAATATGGAACGCTAATGATTTAGCGCAGAGAAGCATAGAAATTAAACCATTATCGAAAATAATATAGCTATCATGTTAATATCCGAAACACACTTTACAAATAATAACTTCTTAAAAATTCCAGCTATAATAATTAAAAACATAATCAATCATCACGAAACTGAAGCATATAAGCACGACTACCTGCAAGCAACTAACGTCGCGATTACAGATAATAATGGTTAAATAGTATTATCAGCACTATACTGCCCTCCAAGACATGCAGTAACCAAGGAACAGTACAACAAATATTTCGACAGCTTAGGAAATCGCTTTGTTGCTGGAGGTGATTATAATGCTAAACATCCATGGTGGGGATCAAGGTCAATAACTCCAAATCCTAAAGGTGCAACTCTATACATAGTAATGAAAACTGAAAACTTAACACCAGTATCAACAGGTGAACCTACCTACTGACCTTTAGACATAAATAAACTACCAGACTTGATAAATTTTGCAATAATTAAAGGCTTAAATACTAAACATTCAAAAGCTAAATCGTGTCTCGACTTCAGATCAGATCATTCCCTGATCATTATCGAATTTGTATCATTAATTAAATTAAACTCAAAAAACATACCTCTTTATAATAAAACAACAGATTAGGATTCTTATAAAATAATATTAAATGAAAAACTTTGATGTAATATACCATTAAAAACAAAACAAGATATTGATATCGCGATTAAAAACCTAAATAGCAATATTTATAATGCCATTAAAATTGCAACTCCAGAATACTCGATAAATAAAAAAACAAACACAACATATTCTATAATCGTTACCGACAAAATTATAGTAAAAAGAACGTTAAGAAAAATATGTGCAGCAGACTAGACTAAAAACTGACAAAACAAAATACAATCGATCAATTACAGAACTTAAAAAATACTTTACGATGAATAAAATGGAAATATAGATAACTAGTTAATAAACTTAACTGCAACGGAGGCTTCCGATTATTCACTTTAGAAAGCAACTAAAAAAATTAATCAACCGCAAAAAATGTTCCCACCCATCTTAAAAAACGATATAACGTGCGCAAAAACAAATATCGATAGTAGTATAGCAATGTATGTTCCAGCACACCTGCGGGGGGTTCCTTAACCCTTTGGTCCTCCCTGGCTTAACCCTTTCATGTTAATAATAATTGTTAACAATAATAATTATTATTAACAATATTCGTGGGGGACCCTGGTTTAACCCTTTGGTTCCCTGGCCTATCCCTTCCATGTTTATTATTATTAACGTTAATAATTGTTTATAATTTTTTGAGGAAGGTTTCTAGGGCTCCTAGTCCCTAGGGACCCTATACCTAGTGCTTTCTGTCTAATTTAATTTAAATGTATTTTTTTTAAAGTTATAAATATATTATTGACAATTTACTTGCTACATTGAAAATGAATGAAGTAAAAATGAAACGAATAGAAAATAGCGACGATTGAAAAAAATGAAGAGACAGACTGGAGAATCGAATCGGAGTCCTCTGGGTAGCCAGGCTAGCGCTCTACCACTAGAGCCAATGCCACATGTAGGAACTATATTGTGTATATTAGCTACACGCGCATACATTTGGTATAGGGCCCGAGCGTGCGGAGGAGGGAGGAGCGCATGCTGTCTATAGTCACTGCGTGCTCTCTCCACGAAGGGAACTTCACTTAATGCCATAGCTATTTTCGTGAGAATGCTAGAAACTACGAGTGCAGTCGCTCGACTGACACCTCCTTGAGATGTTCCTCCTAAACATCTCTGCTAGGAGAGAACCTTATTCCCATCCGTTCGCCCTTTCTTGCAATCGTTATGATTATTTTATTATTTAAAAAAGTTCACATTTTATTATATATTTAATATTTATTATTTTTAATTATACATTGAGTAAAGTACACTTTGTCTATAATCTTTATGTTCAGTGTCCGACATAGCTATTTTTAAATATTCAGTTGAATTTTTATATGAATTATAGTCGTCTGTAAATCTTTCGACTGTATCGATGCCTTTTGATTTTGCTTGTTTTTGTCCAATCGTGTATCTTTTGTGTATTTACCGCAGCACATACTATATTCTCGCGATTTTGACTATGATATATGCATGAAGATTAAAATTTAAGACTTAAATCTTCCAATCGAGGACATCTCATTTCTGTTTCGATATCTAAAATGTTTCTGTAATTAAGAAAAAAACTAATTAAATTCGAATTTCGTACTATTGTATATAATTTGAACTTACTTTTTAGGAATAATTTTTTTGAGCCATTGCTTCTTTTGTAATCCTTTCACATACATATTTCCATAATTATGTAAATGACTGCGAATAGTACAATTTAAAAAATTATATGGTAAAATACCATTTCTCCATAATATACCTATAAAATTGATTACATTAAATATTTCAAATAAAATCAATGTTAATTAACGATAATAAAAAATAAATACCATGATGATGTAATTCCAACCACTTATTAACACTTTGATATTCAATAGGCAGTCTGAGCCGATGATATGGAGGTTTAAAAAGTAGTACTGTAGGTGAAGTATTAGAACATACTGGTAAATAGACAAACTCCTTACAAATAAAAATATTATTAGAACTCTGAAAGCCTTGAATATCTAAAATATAGTCAATCTTAGAGTATAAATCTAATTATTCTCTATGATATGTGAGCTGAATTTTATATCAAAGCAGTGATGACTATATTTTTATTCTGAAAATCTATATATAAACCCTTTAATACTAAACTAATAAGTTAGAGGGTGCTACAGTCGGTTCACCCCCACTCTTTCGTTTTAGCTATCCCTTCCATATACTACCTACAGCGCCCTCACTTTATAGGCAGCGTCCTCAGTTTGCTGGAAGCACCCTCACTTAACCTTTAAAAACCTCTTCGACCTAGCAAAAGAGCGCAGTCTCTAGAGACAGCCTGCGAGCTAAGCTTGCCTTACCTTACTCCATTTGCAAGTAGTTCCTCAATAGTTAGTTGAATCCTTATTGATTTGTTAAACAAATCAATATTAATTACCAACTGAGGTCAAGTTCATTTTAGAGCTGTTCACTACCTTTTCCATCTTTTCATCATAATAATCCTTTATACAACTATAGACAAGTGACTCTACAAGACAATAAAAGTTAGATAACTAACAACATGGCTTCTATCGCCTATTTTGAAGAAACAATTAAAAATTTGTGGAAAGCTTATAATCA